TACGCTCACAAGAGCCTTACTCGCATTAACCGTGAGACCAAGGTCTCGAAACAACCAAACTGACAAGAAGAACAAGAAGGTTCCCATCGTAGGTTCCTTACAGAATGAATTTCTCCTACCCAAGGAAGGAACTTAGCCAGACAAGAATGCATCTAAGGGATACGACAGACCCCAAGAGACAATGCCCTAGCATCAATCTCTATCAACCAAGCTGGGACAACATGCAATATCAAAACAAGACATAAAAAGTAAACAGCTAGCATACAACATAGGAACAGGCTACCTACTCACACAAGTAGTAAAAATCACATAAGGCATGTCAGTGTATATAGAAGAAGGACGTAAAGCTTGATGATATGCTACACATAATCATGCTAAGATGAACAAGCATATATAACATGTTAAAGTAGACAAGCATAAATAACATGGTAACTCAGACAAGCACGTACAATATACTAAGGCTGACAAGAATATATAGTATGCTAAGGCAGACATGTGACGGCCCTGGTTTTTCAAGCCAATGCGTCTTGTGATGAATCGAAGATTGACCCGATAACGGATCTAGATGCGGAAGCAAAAAATAAAATAATGGTCTCCCAAGGCACAACACACCTCTAAGACACTTTGATGACCTTCCATGAGGTCGTGAAAATAAATGAGAACTAACACGGAAGCAAAAGATCAGAAATATGAGAAATAAGCCCCCAAGGGCAAAATAGTCATTTTGCAAAAATATGGATTTGGGTGCTACTGAGTACACCACTAGAAAGATAATGAAAAAATAATCATGATGGACTCAAGAATCGCATGATTCGGAGTCCGGACGAAGGAGAAATGGCAAAACAAAGAAAAACGGACATATAAAGCAAAAAGGGTAAACTAGTAATTATTCAAAAATATCTGGGCATAACCAAGCACACCGTTGAATACATGATAAAAAATTAGTCAAGTTCAAAAAAAATTTTACTCGATTTGCAGTCCGGACATGGGATAAAGGTCAAAAACAAAAACAATGTCGCGGCGGCACGACGAGGGTCACGACTGCTACAATGCTGCCGACCCACTGCTACTGCAACTGAGAGTAAAAACGGGCATCCGTAAAATCAAGTTTTCTACCCGGCATCGTGAACAGAAACAAAAAAAAAAAAAAAAAAAATGCATTGTAAAATGCCCAGAATGCCCCCTAGAAAATCAGGTCAAGAGGGTAAAAATCAATACTAGCTACTGCCCAAGAAAAGGAAATGGGGCTTCGGGAGGTTTCTAAATTGCTTAAATTGAAAATGCAATCTTAAAATACACCCACAGGACCCCCGGAAGTTTTGGATTGGTTGTCACGCTTTTCAAGAAAAAGTCAATGAATAGTACCAAGTACACTTGTATTAAAATTTAGCAAAAACCTGGCAGTAAGGATTTTTTGGAAAAAAATGGGTTTTTGAGGGTCAAGATGACGTTTTCTGTAAAAACATAAAGAAGAAACCCCCTCCGAAATTGAGTTTTCTACCCGACCACATGGGAGAAAATAAAATAAAAAATCACATTTTAAATTACCCGAAATGCCCTTGGAACAGAATAGGGTAAAAACTCAAAAAAATGCAACCTTAAGTTTTTGTTTCATCAAGAAGGGTATTGTGTGCCAAAGTGAACATGCAAGCATATGTAATACGATAAAGTAGACGTACTACAATGGCCTACGGCCTCATGGCATATTGTATGTAAAATATGACCCTTCAATGCATGAAATCTCCTAACTTCCATAAGCAACAATGAGGTTAAAAATTTGCATACATATCACATAAAGTGTCTTTGGCCCTTGGCCTCATTACATACAAGTCAAATACATTGCATAGAGTGTACTTATGTACACATTACATAAATGAAATCAAATATACACATTTTGACCTAAAAGACTACAAGTGGCATATCACGGACCTTCAAGAGTACAATCATTCAAGCAATGATGAACATCACGAACCAAGTCTTCATACCTAAACAAATCCCCCAGTAACTTTAGGGTGAGTAAATAAGTTTACTCGTAGAGAATGAGCATGCATAGACTCGATTTCTTACAGATTTTTTTAGACTAACATGAAACAGTTCAAAAGGATCATGCCACCTAACATCTATATCAAGGTGAGACTCAAGGATCATCCTAAGCTACTCATGTAATTGAAATGAACTACGACATGCAAGTCTACATGCTTAAGTACACCAAAACATATTAAAACATGATACACGACATTCAAGTACACATGCTCACATGTACACTAAATCACGTTAAAAGGGATAAACAATATGTAGTATACATACATAAGTATAAGATATATATATATATATAGAGAGAGTACTCATAAATCAAGTATACAAACACAAATATACTAAGCTAAACAAGTAAGCACAAGACAAGTATACATGGCACAAGTATACTAAATGCAATCTAAACTCACGGAGCAAGTATACAAGTTCAATTATACTAAATAGGATTCAAATACCCAAAGTAAACATCAATTCTCAAGCTACAAGTAATCCATGATTAACAGCTTGAAATTAAATGCGAAAACAAATAGTGGAAAGACTAGGACATGTGGTCGCTAGACCAAGCAAGTATTTTCGGGTAATTACGACCCACAAGGTACTACCTAGTGCGTACTTATGACTTAGAAGACTCTTGTCTCTGTACTAGAGCCAAAACCTAGCCATCACATAATTTATGTTCTCACAAGCTTTCCAAAATCAATAAGTTCAAAACTTATATAAAATCGAATGTAAGTTACCATATTCCATGCACAAGTAAGGTTGAATCCACACAATTCATGTCCTAGAATTCAAGTCTAAATAGCATATGGTAAGTCATGTCCTCAATATGCAATTTATACATAAAGCAAGAATATTTTACAACAATTGAGCCACATTACCATCCTAAGCCACAAGCACTAAATAAGTTTCAATTTAGTAACTAGCTTCCAAGGTAAATGATTGTAATATTCTAACAAGCTATATACCTACACAAGATACATTTAAACACCCTTTGCAAATCAATGATATTCTATATCTTGTTAAGTCCAATTACTATTTTAAGAGGCCACAAGTACTAATTATACATCAACTTAGTAGCATGCTCACAAGGTAATTAGAATACTACATTTTAAAAGATTTTCAACCTAATCATGGAAAGTCTTTAGATTTCAAATCTATCCCAAATAACTTCAAATTAATATATGTTAAATAACATAGCATGCTCATTGCATATATCAAATCAAAAGAGCAAAATGAGCAAGACATCATCATGTAGATTTTAATTAATTTAAATTAATTAAATCTCTAATTTATTAAAGTTGTTCAATTAATCCCAAATAAATATATGAGAAGAACTAAGTCATGGCCACGCCATATATCAAGTCAAAAATGGAAAACAAGCAAGGTACAATTAAATAGAATTTAAATCAAATTAAATTCATTTAAATCTCTAGATTTGAAAACTCATTCAAATGGCTCCAATTAATTATATAACAAGGATTAAGTGAAGGCCATGCCACATACTAAGTCAAAAGTGAATTATATGCAAGTTACAACAATCATTAATTTCTCAAATTGACATTAAAACATGCATATCACTTGTATTCCATTACAAAAGCAATCAAAATGACTTGGAAAATAAACTATAACACCCCCTACCTCACAAGAGGATTGTTCCCCTTGAATCCAAGGCAAATTAACACAAAATGGCAAACCCTTCAAGGGTTATGTAGAGGAGGATGAGGGGAACAAAAAGTGTTCCAAGCTTTATGGTCAAAGGTGAGTGGAAGGGCCTCAAAAATCAAGGTCAAAGCTTAAACATCAAACTCCTCTAATGGTGGCTAGGGTTTTTGGTGAGGGAGGAAATGAAACAAAGAGATGAAGTATGAGTGGAGGAATTAGAAATTCTCCACTCACTATGTGATCTTACACCATGGTCAACACACATAAGTCTTTGTCAATTGCACAAAAATGCCTCTTTAAAACTATAATCCCAAAGTGGCCCAAAAATAATTGCAAGACTTAATTTGGTGTATACACTTGTCACTCATCCAAGCATCCATTGTGAGCTTAATCCTAAGCCTACACTTTTTTTTTTTCTTTATAAATGGTGTTTTGTATAAAAGAAAATAAAATTATTTATAGGCGCACAAAGGGCATACCCCCAGAAAGGATTAAAAAATCAACAGATAAAACAATACAAAAGAAATAATCCTAAATAAATCAAAAGAGTTGCTAGAGAAACAACAACAAAAATCTGCGATGTAAAACTGCTAAGTAAGAAGATCTTGGATAGCCACATTGTAGATATCAAGAACCTCAAATAGGATTTGTCTTGCAATCTCTTGATGAGTCTTAGGAAAATGATCATGAATTCTTCTATTTCTTTCTTGTGAAATGATCCACAAAGCAGCAACAAAAAGAGTACGAGTCATTTTATTTGTTTGTTGTGAAAACCAGTAAAACAAGTCCTCCAATGTGAAAATTGAGGACAAATCAACATTCCAACTCAAAGCATCTACCATCCACTACCAAAAATTCTGAGTAAAGAAGCATCCCACAAACAGATGATTTCTAGTATCACTTTCAAGTAAACAAAGAGAACACATAGGAGCTAACTGCACTTTTCTTCGCTGAAGATTAACCATAGAAGGTAACCTATCTTGAAACAAGAAAACAACATTAACAGACCATCGAGGCCGAGCCTTACCCCAGCAAACCCATTCAAGCTCTGAATAAGTAACCATGCATTGCTGCCAAGCGGATTTGAAAGAAAAGGGATCTCCAACCCATGTAAATCTGTCGTCTCTAGCATGAACAGACAAAGTTTGAAGATAATCTCGGATGGGTTGAAAAATACTATCCTATAGTAGCTCCAAATTCCAACTACCATTAACTATGAGAATAGATAAAGTAGTATCCCAAGACAACCCCAAACGTCTCACAATTCTGTGACCAAATCGCTGCGACAGAGTCTGCCCTTCACCTCATTGATCGGCGAGAAGATTAAAAATGTTCCCAGTACCAATTGAAAAATTAATGTTAAGATGCATAAGGTCCCTACAGTTGATTAAATTTCTCCACAAAATAGAGTAAGAGCTCTTTGGAATTGCATTCCAATATGTGGAATGAGAGGCATACCTGTGCTTGAACCAAGGGACCCAAATATGATCTTTACTTAGTAGGAAATTCCAAGCTAGAACACATTGAGAGGTTTTCAACAAGTCAATCAGCTTTCGGATACCCAACCCTCCTTCCAATTTAGTTCTACACATCATATCCCAGCTCATAAGATGTAGCTTCTTCAGATTGTCTTTACTGCCCCAAACAAAATCTCTGCACAACTTCTGAATATGATTAATAACATCTACAGGCAAAGGGAAAACACTACACTAGTATAAACAGATAGGTGTGATGACTGTCTTGATTAACTTAACCTTACCAGCTACTGACAACAGATTATTACTCCAAGTATTCAGCTTTTTTAAGATTTTGTCCATGAGAACATTATAATGAAATTTCTTTAAGCCCGTTGAACATAGAGGAATACCCAAATATTTCAAAGGTAATTTTTCCTCTTTGCAATGTAACAGATCAAGAATAGCACTTCTTCTTCTAACTGCCTTGGAAAAAATAACACTTGTTTTCTGAAAATTGACATGCAAGCCAGAAGCCTCACCAAATGTTTTAAAAATTCCTTGAAGAGACCTAGCATTGGAAATGGAGGCTTTACATGTAACCAAAAGATCATCTGCAAAAAATGTGTGACATATGCTAGAATTGGCTTTCCGAGCTATGTTTGATAATTGAACTCTCCCATTAGCAACTTCAGAGTTGATAAGCTGAGAAAACTGATCTGTCACCAATGTGAAAAGAAGAGGAGAGAGAGGACACCCTTGACACAAGCCTTTTGTAGGATGAATAAAACCAGAAGGTGAACCATTAATTAGAACAGAATATATGGTAGAGCTCAGCAGAGTAGAGATCCATTTTATCCAAGTATTACTAAAACTAGTAGTAGTCAGAGTTTTTAGAAGGAAGCTCCAAGAAACTAATCAAAGGCTTTTGAAATATCTGTTTTCAATGCCATAATAGGATGTTTAGAATTGACCTCACTAATCATTTCATGTCCCATAATAATACCATCCTGAACTTTCCTACCTTTTATGAAGGTAGTTTATTCTAAACCAATTAACTTAGGCAATACCATAGATAATCTATCAGCCAGTATCTTAGAAATAATTTTGTAAATTAAATTACAGAGAGCAATAGGCCTATAATCTTTTGTTTTTGAAGCAGTACCTAATTTGGGGATCAAAGTTAAGAAGGAACTACTAACCCCAATAGGCAAATTACCTGAAACAAAGAAGTGATGAACAGCTGCACATACTTCAGATTGCATAATGGTCCAAAAGGTTTGAAAAAACCTAGCAGGAAAACCATCTGGACCTGGGGACTTATCAGGTTTGAAATTCATCACCACAGCTCAAATTTCTTCATTGGTTATAGGAATATCTAAACCATCTTATCTTCAGCTATCAGTAAATATCTTGATTGAATTTCAAAAGGCTGATCAGTTTCAGTTCCTTGATAAATACCTTGATAATAATCCACAAAAGTATTCTGAACCTCAGAAGGATCAGTAGTAACCTGTCCAGCTGCAATTTCTATCGAAGTGATAGCATTGAATTGATTGTGTTGTTTTATCTTGTGATAAAAATAAGTAGAACACCTATCATTATCCTTCAACCACAAAATTCTAGACTTCTGAGCATAAAAGATCTCCTGTGTTGACAAAGCATCGTGGTATTCATCTCTAGCTTTTTGTTCTTTCTCAAAAAGATCATCTGTAGGATTAACAAGCAAGTCAACCTGAACTGCCTCCAACTGAAGTTTTGAATGTCTAATCTTCATTGCAATATCCACAAAAGAATTTGAATTCCAAGTCTTAATGGCAGCCTTAACATTCCTTAGTTTCTTAAGTAAAACATAAATAGGGTTACTTGAAACCTCCTCATCCCAGGCTTTTTGAATCACTTCTCGAATACCTTCCTGCAAACACCAGATTTTCAACATTTTGAAAGGTTTTGGGCCACTTGCAAATTGCCAGAAAATGTTGATAATGACTCCATAATGATCACAGGAGGTAGAAGCAAAATAAGATAATTTGGTCCCTGTGAACAGCTGCAGCCAGGCATCATTAGTGAAAGCTCTATCAAGTTTAGCCAAAATTCTTCTGTTATTAAACTATTTGTTATACCAAGTCCATTCTCCATTAGAGGCAGTGATTTCCATCAATCCAGCCTTGTGAATGCAGTCATTAAATTCATCTAAGAGTCTTTAAGGAACTCGACGCCCACCTTGTTTATCTGAGTGAAATCTAGTTGCATTCCAATCCCCCATGACCAACCAAGGGCCTATTGCCACAGTAGCTTGAGTAATCAAATGATCCCACTGATGCTTTCTACCGCCACATTGTTTGATATATACACTGGTGTACAGAAAACCACCTCCCCAGTCTGAAGTATTTTAACCTTCAACAAAAGACTTTGATCCATCTCTGAAAGCACAGTAACATAAAACATCAAAGGATCCCATCCAACCCAAAGTCTTCCCAAAATGTGAGAGTTATAATTATGAATCCAACTCCAATTACTATTAATTTTCCTGGAAATAATATCAAACTTAGGCCTTCTAACCCGAGTTTCTTGTAAACAGACAAAGTGAGCATCGTTAGCTTTTATCCATTCTCTGACCTCCTTTTATCTTCTAGGCTTATTCAAGCCCCTTACATTCCAAGAGGAAATCATTGAGAAGTAGGAGGAAGGGAAACAACCCATTTACTTCTAGTCACTCTGGTATTAGACACTAATCCCTTAATCATTTTGTTATGAGTAACCTGAACTTCTTCAGACACAACATTTTCTGAATAAGGTATAAAACATGCCTCTCCTTTTTTGATAGGAACTACTTTATCAATGGAGACAAGACCTTTGTAGTTTCCGATTTCCCATAAGCAATAGTAGTAATATTTTTTGATACGCCAGGAACGGCCTCTTCTATAACAACCTTAACCCCATCTTTTATAATTCCATCTACACTTGTCAACCATCCAAGCCAACAAGTGCACCTATCCTAGGTAAATAAGTGGTTCAATCTCCACCCTCCACATCTCATCATCCAAGGCATCAAAGTGTCCTCACACAAATGCCAACAAGTGGACCAATGAGAATGTGATACTTGTCACACTTTTTGAAAATTGCAAAAAGGTCCTTTTTGAAAAATCTTCCAAATTAAATTGCAAAATGGTCCCTAAGACGAAATATAATTATTTTACATAATTACACTAAAACCCCAGAGGTTAAGACTATTACAAAAAGAGTTATGCATCCATACCCTTTACAAGAAAAGTAAACACTTAGCATGCTTTTCTAAGAAAATAGAAATACACATTTCTAAGAAATCATGTATTATGAATGCATGCAAAAATGGAAGCAAAACCGAACACGAAAAGTGAGGTTGTGCCAACAAAGTGATAAACGAGAAAAAGACAAAAAGTGAATAGTGTCAAAAAATGAAAAATGTGAAAATGACTCGGTCCTTAAAGGAAGTTATCAATCCAAAAGAAAGAGACTTAGAAACCATTTCTGAGCACTCAAGACGATACTAAGCGATGAGAAACTGAACTCAGACAAGAAATTTCAACGAAAAAAATTCATCCGTGAAATTCTGAGGAAAAAGAAAATGAAGGAAATGACCGGGTCATTACAAGACAAGTACATACAACACGCTATGATAAACAAGCATATACCAAATGTTAAGACAAATAAGCATAAATCTATGCTAAAGCGGTTAAGCTAAGCTTCTAAACAAGTTGTCGCATAAGCAAACAGACATGTTATCAAATTAAAACATGTTATCAAGAACCAATTAAACACATAGAGCATGGTAACACAAGCATGATATGCACCTAAAATCCGTCGTCCAAGGTATTCGAACCTAGGAGCTCTGATACCACCTGTGATGGCCTAGACCTTTCAAGCCAGTGCGTCTTGTGATGTATCATAGTTTGACCCGATAACAGATCCAAAATGCGGAAGCAAAAATAGAAAACAAGTCTCTAGGGATATACAACATCCCTAGGACACCAAAGTGACCTTTCATTAGGCCACGGAACTCTACGAGAACTGATGCGGAGGAAAAGATCAGGAAAAGACTAAATAAGCCCCAAGGGTAAAATAGTCTTTTACATGAAGCAACGTCTTTGGAAATGTACATCATTCCCAAGACACATCCGTGACAACTCATAAGAAAGTATAGCAGAAGCAATTTAAAAAAAAAAAAAAAAAAAAAAAAAAAAAAAAACCAAACAAGTTTAGCCCCAAGGGCAAAATAGTAATTTTTAGCAAGATCTGGGTGTTATCGAGCACACCATTGGAAAGACAGCAAAAAATTAATCAAGTTAGACTCAAGAATCACTTGATTCAGAGTCCAGAAGGAAGGATAAAGTCAAAACAAAGTTTTGACGTCGCCGAGGCTGTGAATAGTGTTTTGACAGCAATGAATAGTAACCTGGGCAAAATGTTGAAGTGCGTGTGCTATTTTGAGGTACTAAACGATGTTTTCTGGAAAAAAAACAAAGAAGAAACCCCCCTTAAAATAATTTTTCCAAGCTGTCTATCTCAAAAGAAAATTTTATTTTTGTCGTGATATCCCCAAAATGCCCTTACAATAGACTTTTTCAAATAGTGCAGGTGCGCACAGGAAATCAGATTTGACGCAGGGTTTTCGGGTCCGAGACGACATTTTCTGGAAAAATGTTGTGAAGAAACCCCCCCTAAAATCATGTTTTCTATGTTACCATGTCAAGAACAGAATTTAGTTTTCAAAGAAAATTTTCAAAATGCCCCTAGATCAGTTTAGTCCAAGAGGGTTAAAAAGCTGCTACATGCATAACAGAAAACTGAACTACGCAAGGGATTTCCGGTACCAAGACGACATTTTATGGAAAAACATGAAGAAGAAATCCCCCCTAAAATCATGTTTCTACCCAACCATGTCAAAAGAAGAAAATAATACGTGCTGTGAAATGCCCAGAAGGCCCCTGATCAGTCCAAGCCAAAAATGACGAAAATGCAACGTTGCACCAAGTGTTCATTTGACCATAAATGCATTTCTAGGCTAAAACGATTATGCATGCAAACGTATTTAGTATTTTTAAGTGCACGGGAATGGTCCGTGGTTCTCAAAAATGGCCGATGCAAAATTTGACCCCCCGACAGCCAAAAAAGGCGAAAATGCACATGGAAAGGGAATTTTGAAACTTAAAATTATAAAATGGTTTAAAATTACCATTTGGTCCTTGGCAACACTTCATGCATGATTAATGAGACCCTATGAAAGAATAAAAATGGAATTCTCACACCCAATGCAAACATGGTAAGGCAATGACTTGCCATTTTTCTATTTTTTTCATAATAAACCTTGAAAGTGAAAATGCATAGAATACAAATTAGATGTCATTGGCCTATGACCTCATCTTATACATGTCAAATACATTTTAAAGAGTGTATTTATATACACATTACATGTTTAGAATCAAATATACACATTTTGACATATAAGGCTACAAGTGGCATTTCTATCCAACCTTTACAAGAATTGAAACCTTCAAGTCTACCATCAGTGCTCTCGTAACCACCTCCGAATAACTCTTTAATCCCAAAAGTGTCACCCTTAGCCTAATAAAATGATTTAGACCGTAAACAAACAGCCATGTCTTCTCTTCTTCGTTCCGCCATGTCTTCTCATAGCGAAACGTGAAAGAGAAGTGAACTTATTCTTTTACTCCGTCACTGACATATCACCTTGCTTGTGACGACCCTGGTTTTTAGGCCAGCGTGTCCTGTGATGAACCGTAAGGATGATCCGATAACAGATCCGAATGCGGAAGCAAAAATAGTAAACAAGACTCTAAGAAGTCAAAGTGACCTTCCATGAGGTCGTGGAACTCAACAAAAACTAATGCGGAAGCAAAAGATCGAAAATATGACAAATAAGTCCTCAGGGGCAAAATAGTGATTTCTAAAAACTATAGATTCGGGTGCCATCGAGCACACCGCTGGAAGGAGAACGAAAAACTAATCAAGATGGACTCAAGAATCGCATGATTTGGAGTCCGAACGAAGGAGAAACGGCATGACGAAGAAAAACGAGCACTCAAAGCAAAAAGGGTAAACTGGTAATTATCCAGGAAGAACCGGGTGCAACCGAGCACACCGTTAGAAAGACAGCAAAAAATTAGTCAAGCTCAAAAAAAAATTCACTTGAATCGGAGTCCGGACGAAGGAGAAAAGCCCAAAAGAAGAATTGACGTCGCGGCGGCCCGACGAGGGGCCATGGCGCACACGGCGCCCATGCGCAAGCCCACCGGCATGCACGCCGGCGCCCAAAGACATGGCTGGTGGCAGCCCTTGG